AACATGAGGAACTGCATTAAGGGTTCGTGGCATTAGGAAGGTTGAGAAACACTGCTCCAGAGACTTTTGAGCAGAGGCCAGGTGGCCATCTGTTGGGAAGGCTTTGGTTGTGATTTTCCCTGCATGGCCCCAAGCTGTTCATAAGGAACTGTATTAAGGGGTCACGGCATTAGGAAGGTTGAGAAACACTGCTCCAGAGACTTTTGAGCAGAGGCCAGGTGGCCATCTGTTGGGAAGGCTTTGGTTGTGATTTTCCCTGCATGGCCCCAAGCTGTTCATAAGGAACTGTATTAAGGGGTCACGGCATTAGGAAGGTTGAGAAACACTGCTCCAGAGACTTTTGAGCAGAGGCCAGGTGGCCATCTGTTGGGAGGGCTTTGGTTGTGATTTTCCCTGCATGGCCCCATGCTGTTCATAAGGAACTGTATTAAGGGGTCACGGCATTAGGAAGGTTGAGAAACACTGCTCCAGAGACTTTTGAGCAGAGGCCAGGTGGCCATCTGTTGGGAGGGCTTTGGTTGTGATTTTCCCTGCATGGCCCCATGCTGTTCATAAGGAACTGTATTAAGGGGTCACAGCATTAGGAAGGTTGAGAAACACTGATCTAGATAATGGGGAGCAAAAGCTCTGATTAAATCTGTAGCAAAACACCATTTCGGAGGTGTTAATCTTATTACTCCCCGGATTAAGTACTGCAGCATCTAGTGCTGCTGGGAGAGGATTTGGATTTGATGGACTTCTCCAATTAATGCGAAATTCTGGGACAGCGTCTCACGGTGGATATATAAAAACCTTGGCTGTCAATCTTTCTGTTGCTATAGAAATGTTTTTTGGATCGCCGCAATATGGCTAGCGCACAGCTTTCCACCAAACGCAACACCTACCCACCCACCGATGCTGCCTCCTCCACTCCCTCAGTAATGTTTACTAATGCGAAATGCAATGGCATATTATGTTGTGGGCCTTGCCATGCCTGCAAACTGCGGCCGTTGATCAAGAGCGGCGGTCAGAGGCTGATGGCATGCATTTTGATAAAATGGGCATTCTCCCTGCAGGTCCAGAGAGATGCGGAAAGATGACAAGAGTCAACACCTAGGAGTTGGACAGCACCCAAGCTGAGCTTTGCCTTTTCAGCCGGCGTTGAGAGCAGCTTTGTAGGGCTGAGCGATTTGCTCTCCAGGGACGCGATGGCAGATTAGCAGCTGAGCTCTCTGCTTACAGGAGACCGTTTTGCTTGTGTGCTTGCAAATAAAGCAAAGATTAACAAAGGCTCCCATGTGCTCTCGTCCAAAGGAAGGTATCCCCAGGAGCTTTGGCCCGCTTTGGGAAAGGGGAAAGTGTGCATTGTAAGTACCAGACCCATGTGGCAGAAGGCTGCTTACATTACACATGGGTTATGCGAAGTCTTCAGAGCTCTGCAGCTTGGTTGGAAAGAGGTCATTGCTTCTCACTGCTGTTAACAGCAGAGAAACAATGATCTTGAGCATTGTTGAAGGGCTGAGATGTATGTAATCCTTGTCCTGAATATTTTTCTGTGTTTGTGTCCTAGCTCTGCACCAAGGCCCACGGGTCAAATCCAACCCACCATGTCCTTTTATGTGGCTCTCCTCCATGTGTTGGCCTACAACACCTGTATCCTTATGACTAGAGCTGATGGGAGTTGGGATACAGGAACATCTGGAAGGCTGCAGTTTGTTTGGTCAACAGAGTGGGGTATGGAGCCCCCAGTTGTAAATGCTGAAATCAGCTCGGAGACCCTTAGGGGAGAAGGACGGAATGTAAATAAAGTGTATTACGGTCTGGATGAGGGCGAACAAATTGAAACTGAATCCAGACAAGACAGAGGTACTCCTGGTCAGTCGTAAGGCCGAACAGGGTATAGGGTTACAGCCTGTGTTGGACAGGGTTACACTCCCCCTGAAGATGCAGGTTCGCAGCTTGTGATCCTGGATTCATCGCTGAGCCTGGAACCCCAGGTTTCGGCGGTGACCAGGGGAGCATTCTCACAGTTAAAACTTGTGCGCCAGCTGCGCCCGTACCTTGGGAAGTCTGACTTGGCCATGGTAGTCCACGCTCTGGTTACATCCCGTATAGACTACTGCAACGCTCTCTACGTGGGGTTGCCTCTGAAGACTGCTCGGAAGCTACAAATGGTCCAACGATCGGCAGCCAGGTTGTTAACAGGAGCGGCACTCAGGGAGCACACCACTCCTCTGCTGCGCCAGCTCCACTGGCTGCCAATTTGCTACCGGGCACAATTCAAAGTGCTGGCTTTAGCCTTTAAAGCCCTAAACGGTTCTGGCCCGACCTATCTGTCCGAACGCATCACCCCCTATGAACCAATTAGGACATTAAGATCGTCCGGGGAGGCCCTGCTCTCGATCCCGCCAGCCTCACAAGCACGGCTGGTGGGGACGAGAGACAGGGCCTTCTCAGTGGTGGCCCCTCGGCTGTGGAACGCCCTTCCCGCAGACATTAGATCGGCCCCCTCCCTGCTGGCGTTCAGGAGAAGAGTAAAGACCTGGCTCTTTGAACAGGCGTTTAATTAAGCAGTGCAACCAACTGATTGATCTGGAACTTGGAATAATGGACGAGGAGATCGGATTATGATTTTACCGTTGAGACGTGATGGATTAGTTATATAGATGTATAGATGCTATATTGATGTTCTGTTGTATTGTTATATTGACGTAGTTGATTTAGTTACTGTTTTAAATGCTAATGTTGTGCACCTTGTATATTGTCCTGGCTGTAAACCGCACTGAGTCGCCTACGGGCTGAGATAGTGCGGTATACAAGTAAAGTAAAGTAAATAAATAAATAAATAAATATATATATAATACTGATATTGTACTATGCTCATAGTATTATATATTTTATGTCTATATATATCTTGTAAGCCGCTCTGAGTCCCCTTCGAGGTGAACACGGATGAGCTCCCTCTATCAGCTCCAGCTCCCATCGGGGACATGAGAGAAGCCTCCCACAAGGATGGTAAAACATCAACATCCAGGCGTCCCCTGGGCAACGTCCTTGTAGACGGCCAATTCTCTCACACCAGAAGCAACTTGCAGTTTCTCAAGTTGCTCCTGACACGACAAAAAAAAACCCAACAACAACAGAGCGGGGTTTGAATTTAGATGCAAGGTCTGTTAGATGACATCTGGCTTTAACCTTCCCCCAACCTCAGAGCCACAAGTGCTGCTGGGTTGCGATTGTCCCTAGTCAGCATGGAGGATAATCAAGATAATCAATCACTACCTCTGAGGATGCTTGCCATAGATGCAGGCGAAACGTCAGGAGAGAATGCCTCTAGAACATGGCCATATAGCCCGAAAAAACCTATAACAACCCAATAATCAAGACTGATGGGAGTGATGGAGTGATAGTTCAATAAAATCTGAGGACCTGAATTGGGTAAAAACTAATGGGAACTGACAACTACATTAAAAAAAGATACCAGTTGGCCCTCTGTATCCATGGATTCTCTTGTGCCGGCAGGATTGCTGACCAACTGCAGTTTGAATCTGGGGAAACCGGATGAGCTCCCTCTGTTAGATCCAGCTTGTCATGCAGGGACATGACAGAAGCCTCCCACAAGGATAGTAAAACATCAAACATCCGGGCATCCCCTGGGAAACATCCTTACAGACAGCCAATTCTCTCACACCAGAAGCAACTTGCAATTACTCAAGTTGCTCCTGACACACAAAAAACACCATTTGTTTAAACTTGAAAGTTTCTACAGGTATGGACACGTCACAACTCCACCTCAAAATGGTTAATTCACCTCTAATTTAGGTGGTTTTGTTGAGATGGAGAGAGCCAGAGCAATACAATGGTTGGACTAGGGCACCAAGAAACCATAGCTTGAATCCCCACATGACCATGGACCCTCCCTTGTCCAAATGATGCTCTCTCAGCCTCAGAGGATTATCTGGGAAGGAATCCCACTAGAGCATTGCAGCACACCAAAATGCCAGGGAGTCACTCTGGACTATGTTCTGACTTATAAGAAGCACTGCTTGAATATCAAGCAAAAAATGGGTGATAGAAATAGTAGAATTGGACCAAACTTCCCACACAGAGTATTGTCGAAGGCATTCATGGCTGGAATCATTGGGTTGTTGTAGGTTTTTTCGGGCTATATGGCCATGTTCTAGAGGCATTCTCTCCTGATTGTTTATGTTCATTTATACCCACCATTTCCCCATTCCTCACTACCTCTGAGGATGCTTGCCATAGATGCAGGCGAAATGTCAGGAGAGAATGCCTCTAGAATGTGGCCATATAGCCCAAAAAAACCCTACAACATTCCCACACAGAACCTCCATGCTTTGAAGGGAATCGCTGGCATGACCCTCCCTCCAGCCTTGCACACTTTCCCTCGCCCGCACATGTGCATTATGCTGCCATGTGCCAAGCTCTCCCCTTTCCTCTTGGAGTCTCAGAAGCAGCCCTCCTTCTGGGAGGCGAGCCAATCACAGCAGAGGAGGGCTTTTGGTAGGAGGATTCACCGTCTGTTTCCAAAAAGGAAGAGACGGACAGGTGGAGAGATCTTAGGCCTTCTCTGCCAAAGGGGTTCCTAAGACCATCAGAAATATATGTTTTCTGATAGTCATTGGTGACCACTCTGAAACCTCCTCACAACCCCCCCAGGGGTCTTGACCCCCAGGTTAAATGAGAAACACTGCTTTAGAGAGAAAGATATTGTTCATAGAAAACCAAAGAAAGAATGTGAATTGCACAATTACATTCAAATTCCCAACACTCATTTAGGGGTTTTTGAGATCTAGATGTGTAAAATTCAGGCATGTGCCTAGATTTTGAGCACATTCAAGATAATTTAGACAGAGGTTTGCTATTTAATTGTATACCAAACCCTGCAACAACTGCAGATGCATTTTGGAGAGAGCTGTTATTGGTGTTTGGAACTGGAGAGATGAATGGGACGCAAGTTTTCATTTTAAGAAATGGATCAAACGCATGGCAACAGCAAGTTCCAGAACTCAATTTTAACTCATTGTGACCATAATTTACATGAGGAAAACAATATGCAACCTTAATTAAGGACATAACAGTTGGAATCATGGGGGAATTGTATTGCTTGAAAGCGAAAAGCCCATTTCGGTCTGAACTCTTCTCCCTTCCAGGGACACCTTCAGCTTGGCTCTTAGCTTCCAGATAAGTCCCCGAGCATTTGCTGAAGATCCCGAAGAGCAGGTCAATGGTCTGGAAATGGAACATAAAATGGTGGAAAGCAAAGCTGGAGAAGAAGCAACAAGGCTGGAGAGGAATATCCTTCGTGTTCTGTAACAAAAAGAAAATTATAGAAATCCTAATGGGATTACAGAAGAAAGAATGAACAAAAGAAGAGATGAAAACCTCAGAACGTATTCAAGATGTCCACATATTCTCCAAAGGATCGGACCATCCCCATGAAAAGTCCAGCATCTGTGAGCTTTAAGAAAGCAAATTTTAAAAGTAGGGTCGGGAGGCAAGAAAGATGTGGCTATAAAATGGTGGGGAGAGTAGGAGAGCGAGATTCCTAACTATGGAGAATCCGTGATAGTAAATAGTTTCTGCTGTTAGTCATGTCCTGCAACAGGCTGCTTATAGGCGAGTCGTGACCTGCTCCTCTTGTCCGTCTTTCCATTGGTTCCTAAACATGTCACAGGCATCTCCCCATGAGTCAAAAACGTCCTCAGAGGAGTCTATGAGTTTGGAGTTGGAGGAGCAGATGCTGGAAGCACAGTGGAGGGAACTGGTGCAAGCCCCAGGGCACGGGTTCTGCCCCGGGTGCCTGACGTTCCTACTATAGTCCACCTCATTGAGGTTAATTTCACTTTTGGAACAGTTCTCGTCCCGCTCTTTGGCCATCTGGGAGTATTTAAGGTCTTGCCACATGTAATGCGGCTGGATGACCCCGTCCGAAATAGTGTACATGGGCTCTGTGTTTGGCTCCGCCAGGTGACCGTTCATCTTAGAGAATAGGAGTCCCAAACGCTTGAAGGATTCCTTCTTGGAGCTGGAAAGCCTTTGGACTCTGTTCCCATTTCGGACAAAGGAGCGCTTATTAATCCCGTTGCTTTTGGGTTTCTCGTTCACCATGTCAACCCCGGACATTGTCTTAATCAGAGCCGAGACGTTGAAGTCTTTCTTCTTGTTGGTGAGGCCGAAAGAAACGCTCTTGGATTTGGAGGTCTCTGCAACACACTCCTCGTTGGCCTCGTCCTTCTGGGAGACCTCGGTGCTGCTGGTGGAATAACTTCGCCGAGGTGGTTTCCGGTTTCCCAAGAGGTCGAGGACTTCGTAGCGGAAACTGGAGATATCCTGCTTCAATTCCTAAGGATGGAGAGGGAGTTAAACATGAGTCAAAAGCCACTGTTTTATCTACAGCAAGGAAAGAACGAAGGAAGATTGTTCTCTCTCGAGGCCGAGCGTTCAAAGCTATGCAAATGAATTATTCTGGATGACTGTGCACAAGAATTCCAATAAATATTTCATTATTTAGCATTACTAAAAGGAGGTTTGGTGATATTTTTTTTTGCAAAGGAAATGAAGAACATTGTTAGATGGAATAGTACCAATACCACTGTCTACATCTAGGGAAGTAATGCTACCCCTCTATTCCGCTTTGGTTAGACCACACCTGGAATATTGTGTCCAATTCTAGGTACCACAATTGAAGAGAGATATTGATAAGCTGGAATGTGTCCAGAGGAGGGCGACTAAAATGATCAAGGGTCTGGAGAACAAGCCCTATGAGGAGCGGCTTAAGGAGCTGGGCATGTTTAGCCTGAAAAAGAGAAGGCTGAGAGGAGATATGAGAGCCATGTATAAATATGTGAGAGGAAGCCACAGGGATGAGGGAGCAAGCTTGTTTTCTGCTTCCCTGGAAACTAGGATGTGGAACAATGGCTTCAAACTATAAGAAAGGAGATTCCATCTGAACATGACTGTGAGAGCCGTTCAGCAGTGGAACTCTCTGCCCTGGAGTGTGGTGGAGGTTCCTTCTTTGGGAGCTTTTAAACAGAGACTGGATGGCCATCTGTCAGGGGTGATTTGAATGCAATATTCCTGCTTCTTGGCAGGGGGTTGGACTGGATAGCCCATGAGGTCTCTTCCAACTCTTTGATTCTATGATTCTATGAATCCCATTTTCAAGTGATGAAGTGGAGAGAAGTGCAAGGGGATGGAGGATATTTAAGCCATCAGATATTTTGGATTACAGCTCCCCACAGTCACTTACATTGTTTCTAGTGGGGCTGATGGAAGATGGAATCCTAAACTGTCAATGCTTCAAGTTACATATGGTTACGTTACCTTAAAGTTTTCTTCTGTCAATCCCTCGTTGCTTTTAGAATTTCTTATCATGGCAGCAACGTATCGTTTCACCAGGTTTCTGATCACTTCCTGGAATGAGAAACACAAGAAAGTGAGTTGACTTGGGAGGCTCTTTCCGCAAAGACGTCTGTGGTATTCCCACATTTCTATTGTTTAAAAAAGGAAATATGCACTAACTCTTGCAAGACACTCTGTGTCCCAAGTGGGAGAAAGCGGTAGCATTGGCAACAACTCCTCACAGAATCCCATAGCAAATGTGGATCCACCACTGGGAGAACTTAGGGACTTGTAATATCTTCTCCAAACTCTACTGGCTCTCCAGACCCGAGGTGATGGTATACTGGGAAATGCAGAATCCCAAAATACTCTTTCCAAGAGGTTTGCATGGAAACATTGGACAGAAAAAAACTGAAGTCCATTCTCACAAGCCATCCACATTTTGGGTTCTTGTGAGTTTTTCGAGCTGTATGGCCATGTTCCATAAGCATTCTCTCCTGATGTTTCAGCTGCATCTATGGCAGGCATTCTCAGAGGTTGTGAGGTCTGTTGGAAATTAGGAAAATGGGGTTTATATATCTGTGGAATGTCCAGGGTGGGAGAAAGAACTCTTATCTGTTTGAAGTAGGTGTGAATGTTTTAATTGACCACCTTGATTAGCATTTAATGACCTAGCAGTTTTCAAGGTCTGGCTTCTTACTGCCTGGGGGAATCCTTTGTTTGGGATGTACCATCCTGGACATTTCACAGATATAAAAGGTAAAGGTTAGGGTGGAACACTGTTACCTTCCTGCTGGAGCAGTACCTATTTATCTACTCACATTTGCATGTTTTCGAACTGCTAGGTTGGCAGAAGCTGGGGCTGACAGCAGAAGCTTACGCCGCTCCCAGGAATCGAACCTGCGACTTTTCAGTCAACAAGCTCAGCAGCTCAGCGCTTTAACCCACTGCGGCACTGGGGGCTCCTGGTGATATATAAACCCCATTTTCCTAGTTTCCAACAGACCTCACAACCTCTGAGGATGCCTGCCATAGATGCAGGTGAAATGTCAGGAGAGAATGCTTCTGGAACATGGCCATACAGCACTAAAAACTCACAACAACCTAGTAATTCTGGCTATGAAAGCCTTTGACAATACATCCCCATTTTGCTTTGCAAAAGTCAACAATGGCATAAGAATGGTCAGGTTAAGAAAGGCACTTTTGAGGAAGTTGTCCCAGAAGTCAATGTAAGGCAATAACATAGGTTGCCTGCAAATAAAAACTCACAATTGTGTTGAAGTATCTTATATTTTGTTATTTATTTCCAAGGCACTAACATGGAAGTCTGAGTGAATGGTGTCCTTGATCCTTTAATCTTAGTAAATCTTTTAATTGGAAGAGTTAACGAAGCTCGACAAGCTGAGAACAAAATTGTGTGTTGCGTCAAAACATCGGGAAGAAAGGATGCCAATCACTTGATGAGGCCAACGGTTTCCTCGCTGGGGATTAAAACAGTGTGGGTTCTTGAAAGGTACAACTCACTGAAATGTTCTTTGGAACAAGCAACGGGTTTGCTCCTTGGTGTTATCATCTGTCTTCAAGCTCAATTCAATTTATGACAACCCCATGGATGAGATACTTCATTAGCTCTGCCATGTCCTCCGAATTCTGGGCATTTGGCTTTTTTGTTTCAATCCACCCATCTGGAATGTGGTCTTATATTTTTCCTCCTGCCTTCTACCTTTCTAAGCAATGATTTCTGTTTGTGTGGTTGGAATGGCCTGCCTCAGGGGAGTGTGCTTAGGACAGAGAGTTTCATCTATGTTGACGATCGTGCCATCACCGCTCAAGCAGGGAGATTTGAAATGATTTAACAGAAACTCACTGAAGCTTTAGGTGCTCTTACTGTCTGTTACAGGGCAAACAGGTTCCTAATCCATCTAAATGCAAATGTGTGCTTTTCATCTTAAGAACAGACAAGGTAATCAGAGGATTACCTGGGAAGGAATCTGATTGGACCATGGCAGCACACCAAAACCCTGGGTGTCATTCTGGACCATTACAAGAAGCACTACTTGAATATCAAGCAAAAAGTGGGTGCTAGAAACAATATCATAAGAAAGCTGACTGGCATAGCCTGGGGATCACAACCAGACACAGTGAAGACATCTACCTTTGCACTTTGCTACTCTCCTGTTGTGTATGCATGCCCAGAGTGGAATACATCTCACCACGTTAAAGCAGTGGATGTGGTCTTAATGCCACATTATCTCAGGATGTCTATGCCCTACACCTCTGGAGAAATTATACTGTTTAGCCAGTATTGCACCACCTGATATCCATTGGGGAGTAGCAGCCAATAATGACAGAACCAAGGCAGTGATACCAGCAGTCCATCCTCTGTTCGGATATCAGCCAGCAGGCCAATGTTTTAAATCAAGAAATAGCTTCCTAAGGTCTACAGAGATACTCACAGGAACACATCAGCAAGTGAGAGTCCAAAAGTGGCAGGCTAAAACCCAGAACCTCAATCAGTGGTTGAGACCAGATCAAAAACTCCTTCCTGGGCACACAGAAGACTGGGCGTTGGACAGACTGCGCTCTGGGACCACAAGATGCAGAGCTAACCTTAAGAAATGGGGCCACAAAGTGGAGTCCACAACCTGTGAGTGCGGAGAAGAGCAAACCACAGACCATCTACTACAACGCACTCTGTGGCCTGCCACACACAAAATGGAAGACTTCCTTACACTGGCACCAGAAGCACTCCAAGTGGCCAGCTTCTGGTCAAAGGACATTTTAACTTGGTCTGAGTTTTTAAATAAATTATAACTGTATCCTCAATTTGCTTCTGACATAACAAATAAAGTATGTTTTCTAGGGAGTCATGTATTTTCATGATATGTTCAAAGTACGACAGCCTCCATTTAGTCATTTTGCTCTCACATGAACTTTGATTTAAGGCAACTCTATGAAAGTGACACCTCTAAGTCATCTTGTTCTTGACAGCCCTGCTCAGGTTTTGAGACTCAAGACCATGGCTTCATTTACTGAATCCATTCATCCCTAATGTGCTCTTTTCCTACTGCCTTACCAAGCATCATTGTATTTTCATACTCGCCGTCCCCTGACACGCGTTGCTGTGGTGCACATGGCGGTTCTGTGTGGGAGGTTTGGCCCAATTCTATCGTTGGTGGGATTCAGAATGCTCTGTGATTGTAGGTGAACTATAAATCCCAGCAATTACAACTCCCGAAAGTCAAGATTCTGTTTTCCCCAAACTCCCCCAGTGTTCACATTTGGGCATATTGAGTATTCGTGTAGAGTTTGGTCCAGATCCATCATTGTTTGTGTCCAATGATGGATGGATGTAGGTGAACTACAACTCCAAAACCAAAAGGCACTGCCCACCAAACCCTTCCAGTATTTTCTGTTGATCATGGGAGAACTGCGTGCCAAGTTTGGTTCAATTCCATCGTTGGTGGGGTTCAGAATGCTCTTTGATTGTAGGTGAACTATAAATCCCAGTAACTACAACTCCCAAATGACAAAATCATTTTTTTTAGTGAAGGAGATACATTGGTTTATTAGGTGTATTGTGTCCAAATTTGGTGTCAATTCGTACAGTGGTTTTTGAGTTAAGTCAATCCCACAAACGAACATTATATTTTTATTTATATAGATGACTCATGTTGTCTCCTGATATCCAAAACACCAACAGTCTCAGTTCAGTCATTTTGGATTTTAGGAAGAGTTCAGGCTTGCTTTAGTCCAAAATCCATTTATTGGTCTTTTTAATGCAAATGAGTTGATTCTCTTCCTAATTCTTCCTATCCCCATGTTTCTGTTTCCCCCTCCAACGATGAACAGTCGTGTTTTTAAATCTGCACGTTTTCTTTCTCTGAAGCACTGCACAAGCCTTGCCAATGTATGAATGCTTGAGACAATGTGCTCGCTTTCTTGTGACAAGTCCCAGGAGGTGCCAAAATCCTAGCTTCAGCCCAAGGGAAATTTCTTTTCATCCAGAGGGTTAGACAAGCAGGAAAATTACTAAGAGCTGAAGCTAAGCAGATGTGGTTCTGGTCAGAATCTGGGTGGGAATCCACCCATGTGCATTTGTGCAGGTACAGCTGTACCAGGAGCTCCAATTTTGTTTGCTTTGCATTGAATGTTTGTTGTAGTCCTGAGTTTCAGGGGTTCTGCAGACAGGTGGCTTCTTTTGACTGCAATCATTGGACAAGCCACCTGTCAATTATCATTAGGTTCCCCGGTCCTGCCCCCTTTTTGGGTTTTGGTAGGGAAGTGAGCCATTTTGTGTTTAGTTTCAGCCAGGTTAACCAATGTATAGGATGTGTGTTGCTTCCCCTTCTAGGGTCACAGAAACTCTAACAGAATCTCCAGGGGAGAACAGCTTTAAGAGTCTCCTAAGAACTCCAGGGAAGCCTTCCACAGCCTTGAGAGTTTCCAGGAAGACAGCCTTAAGGTCTAAAGAACTCCAGCTAGAGAACATCCATTGCCTTGCTGGTAGGTCCTCTCAGCGCTCGAGAAGCAGTTCGGCCTGGCAGCGGAACCCTCACCAGTGAGGGTTGGATTTTAGTCAGCCTTAGGAGAAGTTAAAAAGGGGGAATTTTCCTTTAGAGAAAGTTATTGAAGATAGTGCCTGTCCCCTGTGGGCAAGATTGAGAGAACTAATTCTTTATCAAGAAAGCTTTGAAGTACCTGTTTGATTCATTAATAAAATACTTTGTTGTATTTTTCAAGCCATATGAAGATTCTTTTGTAGTGGAAACCTATGAGAACTTCTTCTTAGGCCCCTGGCTTCCCACTGGGCAAAGGTAACACATCCTATATTTAAAACCAACCAAATACAGGCCCAGCGGCGACAGAACAGCATTGAAGACAGGTGAATGTCAAAGACGGAGTATGAATGTCCTAGGCACTAGGAAGATTTGAGTTATGGACTAAAAGTCCAAAAGGCCAGGGCTCGAATTGTTGGAAATAGCAACCTTCTCAAGCCTCCACTAGTTATTTGTTATGTATATAATTGCTTACTGTATTGTATATGTGTGTATTGGTTTGCAGTTTTCTTTAACCTCTTTGTCTTGGGAGGGGATGCAGACCATGTGATCAGATCTGGGAATATTCAAACCTGAGACTTCATTTTAGGTAGCAGTGTGTGTGTTTGCATCAGAAGCAGTATAGTACAGTTTGAAGTCTGTAGAAACAGAATGCTTTAGAGAAGAGACTCTATTAGACCCTCAGAACAAAGAGATGCTTTAGACAAGCGGTTCTCAACCTGTGGGTCGCAACCCCCAGGGGGGTCATCGGGCAATTTTTTGGGGGTCGTGAAGCCACCTTGGTTGGCCCCACCCACTCCAAAATGGCTGTCAACTCCCTGTGCCAGCCAAACATCTAGGCCAGGGGTCCTCGAAGTTTTTAAACCCAGGGCCAGGTCATAGTCCCTCAAACTGTTGGAGGGCCGGATTATAATTTGAAAAAATGAATTCCTATGCACACTGCACATATCTTATTTGTAGTGCAAAAAACACTTTAAAACAATACAATAATTAAAATGAAGAACAATTTTAACAAATATAAACTTATTAGTATTTCAATGGAAAGTGTGGGCCTGCTTTTGGCTGATGAGATAGGATTGTTGTTGTGTGCTTTCAAGTCATTTCAGACTTAGGTTGACTCTGAGCAGGGCTGGGTAAATGATCTTGGAGGGCCGTATCCAGCCCGCGGGCCTTAGTTTGAGGACCCCTGATCTAGGCATTCCTGGTTGGCTCCTCCTCCTGCTCTTCCCACAGGGCTGTGGGGAGTCAGGAGGAGGAGCTTACAGGTAAAGGCATGAGTGGGAAGAACACTGGTCTGCAGAGTTGCAAAGACTCCAAGCTCAGGAGGGGTAGAGTTGGGAGGAGGGCTCCCGCATGGGCTGGTTTCAGGGAGCCATTGCCTCCAGCCCTCACCCCTTGCCGAGCTCCTCGTCATTGCTGGAGGTCAGTTTGTACGTTTGATGGGAGGGTAACTATACATGCCAGCAGCTCCCAAATGCCAAGGTTTATTTTCCCCAAACCTCTCCACAGGCATGTAGCCAGGGGGGAGGTTTGAGGGGCTTCAGCTCCCCCCCCTCCCCCAAAAAATTCTCAGGGTGGTCTACAAGAAGGCCTTACTGGTACATTATTTAAACTGTTATGTTTATTCATATCAGGATCTGATCACCGTGCTCAACATATCCCATTGGCATGGGGGTACTGGGATAACGATACAAAAGGTTTGATAGGGTAAATCCTCAGCCCCCCCCTCAGCCGCCGCCCCCGCCAAGGTCTATTTTCCGCAAACCTCTCCAGTATATTTTGTTGATCATGGGAGTTCTGTATGCCAAGTCTGGTTCAATTCCATTGTTGGTGGAGTTCAGAATGCTCTTTGATTGTAGGTTAATTATAAACCCCAGCATCTGCAACTCCCAAATATCAAGATCTATTTTCCCCAACTCCACCAGTGTTTTGGGGCAGATTGAATATTTGTGCCAAGTTTGGTCCAAATGCACAGTCGTTTGGGTTCACAGTGCTCTCCATATGTAGGTGAACTACATCACCCATAAATCACTGTCAATTACTCCCAGCACTCTCCAGTATTTTCTATTGGTCACTGGGATGTGTCCCAAGTTTGTTTCAGATCTGTAATTCGTGGGGGTCTCAGTGGTCTGTGGAAGTCAGAGATGAATTGGTTGAAGGTACTACAAATCCCATCATCCGTTGTTCATACTCCCCCAAACATACTGTTTTTGTGATCAATCACTATGCTGTAATTATGTTCAATTTGTGAAAATACATCCTGCATATCAGATATTTACATTGCGATTCATAACAGTAGCAAAATTGCAGTTATGAAATACCAACGAAAATATGGTTGGGGTTACCACAACATGAGGAAATTTATTTAAGTGTCATGGCATTAGAAAGGTTGAGAACCACTGCTTTAGACTATGGACTGTTGATTCTAAGAAAAATACCCTGTGTTCTCAACACAGAGAAACTACGTCAAATCCTATCTGTAACTGGATTGATAAGAAAAGTACCTGTATGCTGAAAACATGAAGTTTGTGAGTAAACCAATTATGTTACTTTTAAAGAAGACAACTTAATTTTTGTCTCTTGAGAGCATGATTTAAACCAAGATGTTTTAAGGAAGAATAGATTTTTTTAGGCAACTGAAGAGAATATTTCTGAAACTCTGCTATATATGTGTGTGTGTTTGTGCATTGGCATATCTTTGTCCCTGACAGTTCAAAGTTCAATAGGTATATCAGTTTAGCAGATGAGAAGCCTAATTGCCTAGTGGAAATTTTACCACTAAAGAGAAGGTTGACTCAAGTGAATTTTTAACTCTTCTCAGAAGACTCCTGGTTTTTCCCACCTGGTAATGAATGCCTTTCCGGGACTGTAGCGCAGCTGGCTGGGAGTCAGCTGCATTAAGATCACTAGTGACCAAAAGGTCATGAGTTCAAAGCCAGCCTGGGTCGGAGTGAGCTTCCGACCAATTTGTGTAGCTTGCTGTCGACCTTTGCAGCCCGAAAGACAGTTGCATCTGTCAAGTAGGAAATTTAGGTACTGCTTATATGGGAAGGCTAATTTATGATGCCTTAAAAATATCCATGAGGAAGTACTTCATCAGTGTCACAAATGGACGGTGAAGTCACAGCTCCCCTAGTGGCCAGAATACCCTCATGAAAAAGCTGGAATGTTAAATAGCCTCTGTGTGTCTGTCTATATATGTTGTGTGTCTATGGCATTGAATGTTTCCCATATATATGTACACTGTAATCCGCCCTGAGTCCCCTGCAGGGTGAGAAGGGTGGAATATAAATACTGTAAATAAATAAATAATAATAAAATTTCCAAAAGGTTATGATCTCTAACAAGGTCATGCCTTTCCTGTGCCCAGTGGTTTTCCAAAAGGTTATGAATACCATTTCCCAAATGGTTATGGAGATTCACATTTTCCAAAACTAATTCCCATTCAGCCTTGGAAACCCACGGGGTGACCTTGGGCAAGTCACACACTCTCAGCCTCTGAGAAAGGCAAAAGCAAGCCTGCTCTGAAGAAATCTTGCTCAGAAAACCTTAAGATAGTTCAAAGTTGGCTTGAAAGCACCTAAGAACTAACAACGAATGAATCAATGTTGTAAACTAGCCTTCCACAAATTGATGCCTTCTCAAAGTGTTGGATGACTCCTATCATCCCCATACTATCTGTATTTGAATGGAGATATTATCAGAACACACTTGGAGCTTGCAAGCATAGAGAAAACATATACAAGAGTGGGGAAAGGGAGCAAATTGATGTTCAAGACAGATCAAGAGAATATATTCAGGCTACTTCTTTGAATAGATTGTTTTTTTTTACCTGGTAATGCTGATTCTGAATCAAGTTGTCTGCATGACGTTCCTGGGGAGGAAAGAGACACATATCAAAGGGTCATACATAAATATTTAAGAAGGGTTCTCCTTGATGGACCACTTGTTGGTCTTGGCCACCTCCTCTCACTTTCTGTATAAGCTATTCTGTGGTTGTTTGAGTTCAGGATTTCCAGATAATGATTCAGAAATGGATTGAAAAGTCTACATACCGTGAAGGTCTTCAGATTCTCATGTTTCTTCTCATCATCTTCTGGGTCTTGGGATGGACAGACCTGCTTGTGGATCCATTTGCAGAGATACCAGAAGGACTTGGGGCTGGGGATGATGTTAAAAGGTGGTGGCAAGGTTCCTCCTTCATCAAAGTAGCTCATCCAGAGCTTGGTGCGGGCAAATTTCCATTCGATGTCAGCATGGTCCTAGGAAGAGAACACCAGAAAAGGGTTATTGGTTTGCATTGATCACAAGTCCTTCATGCATTGAGTAACAGCCAGGCAACTTCCCAGGCTTGAAGAATAAAATGGGACAGAGGCAAGAGATGAAAGAATTTTGATACAGCAGCAGCAATAATAATAATAATAATAATAATAATAATAATAATAATCACCATCATCATCATCATCATCATCATCATCATCATCACCATCTGCCTGTGACAAAGAACTGGTGGGATCACAGGCCTGAAAAAGTTATGAAAACGGAACATGTCAAACTACTCTGGGACTTCCAAATTCAGACTGACAGAGTTTTGGAGCACATTACTCCTGACCTCAGAGTTTTGGAGCACATTACTCCTGACCTCATGACCATGGGGGGGACGGGGGACAAGTATGGATCCTCAGTGTTGCAATCCCAGGCAACAGCAGGATTGACAAGAAGCAACAGGATTGCTGAGAAGCTTACATTATAGGATGATTTAAGGATAGAACTGCAAAGACTCTGGTGCAAGCCAGTCAAGGTATTCCCAGTGGTGATCGGCACACTGGGTGCAGTGCCTCAAGACCTTGACCTGCACTTAAAAACAATCAGCACTGACAAAACTGCCATCTATTAGCTGCAAAGACCACCCTACTCAGATGTCCATGCATTTTACACCGATATATCACACAGTCCTAGACACTTGGGAAATGACAGACATGTGATCAAATACAAAAGCTAGCATAGTGACCTTGTTTGCTGTGTACTAATCTTGTTAGGTATCTAATAATAATAATAATAATAATAATAATAATAATAATAATAAATGCAGACTGTGCAGATCATATCCTCAGCTGTTGCAAGAAAATCACACAGACGGACTACAAACAGAGGCACAACTCTGTGGCCCAAATGATTCACTGGAACTTATGTCACAAGTACCACCTGCCAGCAGTAAATAATTGGTGGGATCATAAACCTGCAAAGGTAGTGGAAAATGAACACGCAAAAATACTGTGGGACTTTCAAATCCAGACTGACAAAGTTTTGGAACACAATACACCAGACATCACGATTATGGAAAAGAAAAATGTCTGGAAAAACAACAGGAAAAACTCAGCCATTATCAGGACCTCAAAATCAAACTGCAAAGGCTCTGGCATAAACCAGTACAGGTGGTCCCAGTGGTCATCAGCACACTGAGTTCCATGCCAAAAGACCTCAGTTGGCATTTGAAAACAATAAACATTGACAAAATCACAATCTGTCAACTGCAAAAGACCACCTTACTTGGATCTGTGCACATCATTCGAAAATACATCACACAGTCTTAGACGCTTGAGAAGTGTTAGACTTACGATTTTGTGATACAAAATCCAGCATAGAGATCTCATTTGGTGTGACATACTGTGTTTTGTGTCAGTAAAATAATAATAAACTTTATTTATATTTTGCCCTATCTCCCCAAAGGGACTCAGGGTGGATTCCAGTCATGAAAAGACAATGCATTAATGGAACACCTCAGCAAGCGAGAGTCCAAAAGTGGCAGGCTCAAACCCAGAACCTCAACCAATGGCTGATACCAAATGAGAGACTGCCCCCTTCCAAGAAAACTGGGCGACTTGGAAGGAGCTGAACAGACTGCGCTCTGGCACCACGAGATGCAGAGCCAACCTGAAGAAATGGGGCTACAAAGTGGAATCCACAACATGCAAGTGTGGAGAAGAGCAAACTACAGACTACCTGCTGCAATGCAACCTGAGCACATGCACATGCACAATGGAGGACCTTCTTATAGTAACACCAGAGGCACTCCAAGTGGCCAGCTACTGGTCAAAGGACATTTAATCAACTACAAAGCTTGCAAACTTTGTGTTTTGTGCTTAAGCGGCTGAGGGGGAAAAGGAAAGGGCCTGAGGCTGTTAGGAATGGTGGGAATTGCAGTCCAAAACTCCTGGAGGAACAAAAGTTGTCCATGCCTGTTCAACAGTGTTGATGCATCCAATGTGTCCATCTTACCAGGAAAAGGCCATGAAAGGCCCCAGATCCCGCCTGATCTTTCCTCGCTCAGGTGTTTTTACAACACGCCACCCAACCTTCCCATGTTCTGCACCATGGCCTTTGTTTCTATGGCGACACTGTCATTGTCCCCAGACGGGCGTCCGCTGCCCTTTCTCAAGTTCCTCGGGTCACATCCCTCCTGAGCTCCGTGCCACAAACAACGCTGCCTTTCCTCCCAGCTGCCACTCAGTTTTGCATTTGCATTTACCTTGCCAGCTTGGCTGTTCTTCCAGGCTGCTGTTTTCTGCTAATTCTCAGAGCATCAAAACGCTCCTTTAAAAAAATCCCTTTGTACTGTGCAGCTTGTTGTGGATGCCAATGGAGAAGGTTCCAATTAGAATCATAGAATCATAGAGTTGGAAGAGACCTCATGGGCCATCCAGTCCAACCCCCTGCCAAGAAGCAGGAAAATTGCATCCAAAGCACCCCTGACAGATGGCCATCCAGCCTCTGTTTAAAAGCTTCCAAAGAAGGAGCCTCCACCACACTCCGGGGCAGAGAGTTCCACTGCTGAACAGCTCTCACAGTCAGGAAGTTCTTCCTAATGTTCAGATGGAATCTCCTTTCTTGTAGTTTGAAGCCATTGCTCCGCATCCTAGTCTTCAGGGCAGCAGAAAACAAGTCTGCTCCCTCCTCCCTATGACTTCCCCTCAAGTATTTATGCATGGCTATCATGTCTCCTCTCAGCCTTCTCTTCTGCAGGCTAAACATGCCCAGCTCTTTAAGCCGCTCCTCATAGGGCTTGTTTTCCAGACCCTTGATCATTTGAGTCACCCTCCTCTGGACACATTCCAGCTTGTCAATATCTCTCTTCAATTGTGGTGCCCAGAATTAACTTCAGGATTTTCTATTGCCCTTATTTGTTCCTTCTTCCTAACAAGGGGAAATATAGGAACATTGGGTGCATCTGCATTATGCAATTAATGTAGTTTGATAACACTTTAATTGCCATAGCTCAATGCTATAGAATTCTGGGAGTTGTGCCTTGATGATGCACCAGCACTCTTTGGCAGAAAACTATAGCTTCCATTTGAACCATGGCACTTAGTGGTGTCAAACTGCATTAATTCTACAGTGAAGATGCACCCAGTGTTGGTGGTCTCCAAAGACTACCTTCAGTTTCAAATAACACAATTCCTTTAAATTTGGGTGTGTAATATCATGCATTATTGCATGTTTAAGAATAGAATTGGTGTGATCTTGACCTAAAATCTATCCCAATTGTATGAATCTAATAATAATAAATAGATTAAAAAGGTAAAGGTTTCCCCTTGACATTAAGTCTAGTCGTGTCCAACTCTAGGGGGTGGAGCTCATCTCCATTTCTAAGCTGAAGACCTGGCATTATCCATAGACACCTCCAAGGTCATGTGGCCAGCATGACTGCATGGAGTGCCGTTACCTTCCAGCCAAAGTAGTACCTATTAATCTACTCCCCGGATTCGAACTGCCGAATTTTTGGTCAGTAAGATCAGCAGCTCAGCGATTTAACTGGCTGTGCCACCTGGGGCTCCTAATATAGCCCCTCAAATTGGGGGGGGGGGGTTATAATGGGATACGTTTTATGCCGACCTCACATCGAAATTCCCCTAATGTTTACACCCAATCACACCATCATTCCCACCTTCCTCAGCCCTATGGATTTTATTGTGCATTGACAGTCAGTGTCCTCAATTTGCAGTTGAAAAAAAGGAAGGATTTTTCGGTGACCATGAGGGGTTATGGTCTATGGCAGTGGTTCCTAAACTGTGGTCCATGGACCACCAGTGGTTCCCAAGAACTAAAATATGGTCTGCAGCCTTACCGTTATTACACCTTTGCAATGAGATCAACTAGTATCACGAAGGCAATGGAGATGTCGGGAGGGGAGAGGCTGACTACCCATGAAAGATGCAACAACAAGCCTCCTGACTGCAGCTTCTCCTCCTCTTCTCTCCCCCTGAGTGGAGCCATTCCATGTGGCACCTGGAAGCAGGGGCACCTTGGTGTCTTAGTTCCTGGGGTTATTTGGAGTGCTGATTCAGAAAATGGCATTGAATAGACCACATCAGATTATGAAATATGTTTTTCTCTGGGTGAGCAGATGGTGACTACTGGGGGCATATCTTCTGTACCAGAAACTAGAACTGATATAGTTTATCGAATGCAATTTTCTGAATCAGCACCCCAAATAACCAAACCAAACCTAAGTTGATCAAAAACTGATTTGTAACCTTTTTGGTACAGATGTTGGAGAGTGGTCCCTGGTCAAAAGGCTCCTGGTCAAAGTGGTCCTTGGTCAAAAAAAGGTTGGGAACCACTTGTCAATGAAATAGTCTGGAGGGAATTAAACCCCAACTCCAAAGAATGTGTCCATTGTCCTGGCAGTTTTAGGACCAAAGTACAACCTAAAAGTATCCCAGCACCTGGAAAATGTACTTTGAATTGGGAATGGAAAATATATCAAAGCAATATTCAATATAATAATGTTTTTGAGCTTACGTCCATGCCTTTTAATATAGATGTTTTAATGATCTTATGTTCTACCTATGTATGTCAAAGATGTTCTACCCCACATTGAGGAGAGGCGTGTAATAAACAAATACATAATAATAATAATAATAATAATAATAATAATTATTATTATTATTATTATTATGTTGTTGTTGTTGTTGTTGCTGTTGTTATTGTTATCGTTCAGGGTAAAGATGCCACGTGGATTTCCTGACTGTGCTCAACTGAAGTTTTGATTTACAGCAATGCTAGGCATTTGGGGACTGGATGAGAGTTTCATGTGGGAGCAGAATTCTTCTTTGGGAAAACAATATCCTTGTGTTGTCGAAGGTTTTCATGGACAGAATCACTCAGTTGCTGTGAGTTTTCTGGGCTATATGACTATGTTCCAGAAGCATTCTCTCCTGATGTTTTGCCCACATCTATGGCAGGCATCCTCAGAGATTAT